AGATAAAGCCTTTGTTGTGAATTTAATCAAGCCTACGTGTGATTGTCGGAATGTTGTAAAGAAATTATGCGCAAATGTCGCAACATCGTTGAGAACTTCTAGTTTGGTAGTTGAATCAATCTGTCTGGAATGTCAAATCATTCCAACTATAAAAGGAGCTAGGATCAGTCATCCCAGCTCCTTCAGTTATCCTAGCTCGTTTACCAGATCAAAAAGCTCGAGTAATCCGACAGATCGCTCAGTCACTCAATCGGGCAGCTCGGGCAAGCATTCAAAACGACATATTGTCAGACACTCAATTTGACAACGGTTTAACGGCCGAGAAGCGGCAATACGACAGTTCAATAGTACGAGCGACAAGACCGTTTGGTATCCTTATCGTGTATTATTCATTTCATTCCTATTATTGTACTGTATCGTGTAAGACCAATGAAGGTTACTATTAACGTTGCGAAGTTACAACAATAAAAAATACAAAATCTTTCCCTGACAGGAGGTAATGGATTACTGAGAAAAAAAGACATCTTGAAAAGCATTGCCTTGGTAAGAATAAAATCCATATTTTTGTATGCTTGGACAAATTTTCTCGTCCTGACATCAAAGAACAGGAAAGAAACTAGGCTATCAAAATTAAGAAACATTCGGCCTTCTTTTTGATATTAAAAGAAATCGTATCGTCCACATTTCTAAAACCAAAATTAGGTTTATATGGCAGCTTTCAGAAGGCATATACGCCTTAAACGCTCTTCAAAAAAAAAAAAGAAAAAAGAACTCAATTCTAAACAGTAATTTTGCAGCTGGTTGCAGAAAAATCATTTACTTCCAATAAGGTATCAATGTGCTGCATCGATATGCTGGCCACAACTAATCATTCATAAGAATTCCACAATCTTCTATTTTCAAATCAGGGCTGAAAGACCAATTAGCGATAAAAATGATGCATAATTGCATATGGGTAAATGAGAAGATGCATGCAATTAAAGCTAAACCAGCGCATATTAGACAAGAAAAAATCCTTCACTTTGGCTGTTTTTCTTCTAACGACAATTCACTTCCACTGTTTTCATGTATATTTCACATCTACAGACTCTTCAAGTTACGGATAAATTTCCAACTTATAGCAAAACTTATCCCTACCGAAAAAATCTGATCTATTTGGATGAAATGATTCTGATCCATCCCTTCCGATACATCAGATAATGGCGGATTTGTTTGTCACATCTAACAGAATCTGTAACACATTGCATTGTAACTGCTACTTTACCACAATTTGGTTCAGTGATTTGCGAGAATTGTTAAGAAAGAAATCCTATTCATTTTGACTTGTAATAATGAGCACGTTATCTTCGATGACTTCTTAAACATATAAATTTAAGAAAAAAGTTACTCGAGTATGTTTTAGCAATTACATTTTATGTATATTTCACATCTATATACTTTTCAAGTTACGGATAGATCACGCAAAAGACTTCTATTAGACCTGTGAGCGTCATTTTGCTTCAATTTCTTATTCATCTTTCCATTTGCCGTGCGACACTTATTATATCTATAAATTTCATTCAACCATTTCACATTTTTGATGTAATGGCAGCCTAAGTCAGGGTGATATCTTTCTTATTATTTATTGCTCTCTCGAACGATTTTATTACAATTATTTTTATGACTGTTTCCTCTGTTTGCAAAATTTCCATAGACTTGTTGTTCGTCTCTTATGGACACAGTTCTCGTTTCATTGATTGCTTATCTTTTTCATGCCTTACTTCTATGTGACACCGTTGGTAACATATCATACTACTGTTTACCCCAGCAATTATATTTAAATAATAATATAAACAATGCTGAGAAATAGAAAGTTCGCCATCAATTTCCCATTTTTTTTAAATTTTTCGTCATTTCGGTTTCCTACATTCCACTTGCTATCCAAAGCCTGATATGCTCTTATCGTAGTTGGAATAGGCTTCACACTACTCGAAATTATCGAAATCTTTAAAAATAGCGAAAACAGTTACTAGCAACCTTTCAAAAGATTGCCGCTAATATTATTAATTAATTGGAATAATTAGATGTTCTTGGTTGGATCGAAGGTATCAACATATTCGAACTGGTAGAATTTTAGTAAAAGATTAAGAGACTTCAACTGTGATGTATTCTTACATTGGTTTGCCCAGTCTATTTAACAAACTATTTGAAAGAAGCACTACTCGTGATATATGCTGTCTTCCGCAGTATTCGAATTGTTGAAACTATCATTATTGACAGTTTTGTCTGATAATTCTTAGAGGTAAAAGCCGATTTACTTATTCAAAAAATCAACCACTTACGTTATGTTCAAGATACGAATAATATCTGTACTATGCCGAAGTAAGTCTTCAGGTTTTTGATTTACTGAATAATCAGTGGCAAATCTTGTGTCCGTATAAAGAAACATATAGGCCAACTCCTACTTCTCCTCAATGAAGGATGGTATTGTCAAGCAGATACTGGAAGTTTCTTCTTACATTTTCTTCATGCGAAGGATTCTCTTCTTTCTCTTAGTTCAACTTGATTGTGTGTGGCGGCTAACGTTATTCGTTCATTACTATTTGAGAAATGTCTGGACGTGGCAAAGACTATCGTCTTTCGGGCTCGGAAAAGGTGGAACGAAATGCCACCGTAAAGTTCTTGGTTCTTTTTCTTAGTTAAGCGGAAGATAATAACTTCATCGTTCCTACAGTCATTTTCTTCGTTCTATTTTCTTGCGACCTTACACAGCTACGCTTTCCTACCTTCTCATCTCTTAGTAGTTCCTACTTGCAGTAATCTTTAAGAATCTCCTAGTAGGAGGCACTATCTAAATAAATTTCAAGAAGTTTCACTTTCTCTTCGATAGTTACTACAGATTTACTTTCTTCTGTGAGATCATCTTATTTCATAGCGGCGACGTTATGTGCGAGGAGTCAGTTCAGTCTAACATCGCTATATCAGGAAGGACTGATAGTTTTTATTGGGGACAGAAATCGAATGAATAGTTCGGAGTTTTTTCATGGACTGTGAGTGGGGAAGAGTGTAATATAGTGTTAGGGGATAAAAGAAGACGAAACTGGAAAGATGGGAGAGACTATTTTATACAAGAATTAAAAGTAATGCCGATATGTGAAAACGTTAATGGTTAGGAATATATTTATGAATATGAAATGCTGCTATTAATTTGTTTCCTGGATAAAGGCGTTATGGAGAGAGCGAATTATTTGAAAAAAAAATGTTTTGAAGGTTAAAGTTGTGACGAAAGTGCCAAAGAAAAGGAGAAGTGGCTATACCGATGATATATAAAGTTACCATGATTCACGCACAATTCGCTCTCTTACTCGTTCTAAATTTTTGATTAAATCGCAGTCTTTCTTTTAAGGTCAAGTGCCTCATCTCGATGGATTTCAACTTTAAGAAAATTGCAAGTGATGCCAGCGGCTTTTTCAGTCGCGCCAAACAGGTGATTAATTTGCATTGCATTAAAAATGTGTATTCCTTCGAGTGCCATATCAAAATTTAACATCATACTTAATAAATTTAAGGTTTCTGTACTAACACACAGGAGTCACGGTTCAACCAATATTCATCCTAAGAATTTTTAGTGGATTAAGTACTTATCCCAAATATTCTCTACAAATATTTTCAGGATAAAGGCTAAGATGGGCTGGGGATTAGAGTAAGCACGAGAAGAAGGTGATGCTTGATCATGAAGTATTGTGATTTCCTTAATGGACCACAGCGTATTTTGTTTTTCTGTAACCGTAGGTTGTTTACGATGAACTTTTATGATTGCAGTTGACAGAAGAAACTTTTCTGAAAGCTGAAAAGACGGAGCTTGATGCACACTTCGAGAATCTGCTACAAAGAGCAGACAAAACAGAGGAACACACAAAGCGATTACTTTCTGCTATGGAAAGTTACCTTCAACCAAATCCTAGTAAGTTCAAACTTGAAATCCGCATTTTATTTGCCAAAAAGTTGACGTGCTACCAG